GGAACAAATGTTCTGATCCTGGAAGTACAGGAAGGATGTTACAGATTCCTAGTTCTGGATTTTCCTCGAGGTTGTCACCTGAAGCCTTTCCCTGGCGAAGGGTGTGGCCGCAAGGCAGCGGAGGTTTTGAGTCCCGAGTTTTCCTTCTCCAAGGTTGACGAGCCCCATCTGCCCGAGGCTATCTGGTTTTGAGGTGCCAGTGGCTCGCCTTCGCCCCTTCTCCAGTCAGTTGAAACAGTTCCACCGGGTTTACCGATGATAAACCACCCGTGAAGGTTGGAGTTGGACTTTGGTTGTCAGAGGCTGTTTGGGACGCATGCCGAAAGAAGCATTTTCATGGAATTTGGAGCCTATTTCTCACCTCCACCCCTTGGCTTAACAACTTTTGGAACCTGATGTTCCAGTGACTAGTAGTGTAAGAGATAGAGCCCGGACAAGATAGCGGAAGGATGGTTGGACACAGCGCAAAACTCTAGTCCCCCCCCCGGTTCCGGAGGGGGACTAATAATAACAACAACAAAGATATTTCTGGAGAAAACCTCTTTATCTCTAATAATAAAATGATGACTTTCAAAATACTTCCAAGTGACATGATCAATTATGATACTTGCGTAATTACACAATCAATATTTAACATTTGGCAGTAGTTCAATCTATAATTACACAGAACAATAATGATAAATGATCAGGCATTTCATTTGTCTGCCCCCAGGTAACATGCCTAGCCAGTAGGAACATACATCGAAAAAACAAAATATTTCTAAGTACACATTCACGTGTAGCACACAAGAAGCTAATAAACAAAGTTTTCTAAGGCTAACACATAGTTTACAGTGTCAAGGTACGGAGAAGAAAACCAAAGTTGCTTTGCCTTTCAACTCAGCTACCCCTGAAGACACATTTGAACTATTCCAATTCAAAGGTTGGAATAGTCCATTATGAAATTTCAGGGATGAATGAGTAACTTATTAAAAATATTTGTACTAAAGTTCAAATTTCTAGAAGAAATAAATTTTGGAACATGGATAAAAATTGTGTGGAGCAAAGGAATTTTATGCTAGCAACATTTAAGTATACAACCTCATCCACATAATGGTTCTTCTTTGGTCAATATTCCTGTACCATGTACAATGCATAATGAAGACAGTAATCTCACCAAATATCACACAGTGGACTCATCTCGTATTGTCTTGGAACAGTTCACCAAGGTTGACAGTGGGGAGAGACAGCTATTTACAGAAAACAGATGTAAAGTCAATGTAACAACAGATGTAGGTATAGAGTTTGATATATATATAAAGATCATATTAATACTGAGAGCATACGATGTAGTCCACTTTATAAATATACACAAGAGTGAAACATGACCAATAGAATATATACATTTATCAACAATGAAACAACTAAGATCACATGTGGAACTTGTTAGGCATCCGATGGGTACATGTATTTATATATATATCTGTAACATTATTATATACAACAGTGATTTCATAGGAAAATAACCTTTAACTACTGGTACAGTAGGACCACAGTACTGCACTATCGTGGTTTGTATCAGTCAGTGTTAAAACTGCAGTGAGTTTACATAATTTAGCCACCTATGTTCTCAGCAAAATTTCTTAGATGCCTGCACTATTTTGGGGGTTGGGGAATATTTTTGTTCCCTTAGACACTGGCTGGACAGGGGGACAACTGGCTTAGTGGTGATTGGTTTAATACCGACTGCAAAGTAGCTGACTTTCCATATAGTCGCCATGCTTTTCACTGCCAGCTGCTATCAGGTTTCCAGTACCAAAATTTGGGTGGACTGTTTCGTAAGATATTGCACCGCAATAACCACAAATATGGCACAGTTGGTATTGTTTACATCAACAAAGTCTGCATCGTATTTTACATTAAATAGCACTTCAGTCTTTTTACCTCGTGTTGTGTAGATTACACTCTCAATTTAATAGAATTTGCAGTAAGTGTCATACATAATGTATGTTGGACATTTGAAAAGAAAGTCTTTTTGGAAAATGTTTTAATAGGTTAAACAGGTATCTGTATCTGTATCAGTATGACATCCAAAGTTAATACCCCTCTTTAATATTGATGGCGTACACCATTAAACATTTATTTCATAACAAGTAGTCTTAAATAAATATACCCCACAAGGAACAACATATTAACAGGCTACATATATATTATGATAACTTCTCGTGAACATCTGTGAACCCTCAAAAATATATTCTGCTAATCATATTGGAGAAGGTGAAACATCGACAAACTGATTCACAAAAATTTATATAAATTGATTTCATATCATTTTGTTTCATTAAATTATTATACATTTTGCAAACAACTCAAAAAAAGATTATGTCTTACAAATTTGAACCCTTCTATAAATGGCAATGAATTTGTAATCACTTAAAAATCATAAAACATGATTCACTCGTTTCAAAATCCATTAAACAACAATTAAAAGCAAAATCTAAATTACAACGCACCTATTTTCCTAAGAAATGTGGCTGCCATTTACAAATTCAATCATAATTTAACTACAAAATCTTCACAATTTATTTCTCTCCAATATGGTTTGAGTAACATGCACAATACATCAACTACTGTAAGCATTATCAGGACAGGGCTGTCCCAGGTCGGGGTTCTTCATCATCAGTGACGAAATATTACATTTCAATTTTAACGACAAACATTTCATGTCAACTTAAAAATAAAAGGACCTCTATAAGAAACACGTACAACATGAACTAGATGAAACTCCAAACAAGGGGCTTTGTGGTACACCTGCTTTGCGGCTAAAGTAGGTCGGACTTGAAAATTTGGATGATCCTACATGAAAAAGTTAATAAGACATGCCCCAGAAAATGTATTCTCTTGATTAAGCTCAAACAAAGGTTGCGGTAACCTAATTTTGATTTTCTACACTATGACTTCCCCAGATAGTATCACATAGTTTTACTTCAGTATAATACCCTATGTTATATTGTAAAGAGGGGCTCCTCAAATTGTTTTCCCTGGTTTGAATGCAAAAGGCTTAAATCAATATTTTTGTACACTTTTCCTCCTTTACATATACCTAAGTATCTACCGAATATGACCTTGCATGCACTTTACCTTAGAATTGTTAAAGATTTGTTATTCTTCTTTATTCAGCGAGTGATTTAATTTCATTCTCTGCACTTTCCCTTCTCTAGAATAGATGCTATGTACCAATTTGACTGATCCTATATATAAGAGAAAAGCATGTGAAAACATCTGGACGGACACGCACATGGGAAATTCTGTATAATCCTACTTCATTTATTTTTTGGGGGTTTAGATCTTAATTTGTTTTTTTCCAATGAAATATTACTCCTGCATCTGTCGAATTGAAACCCCCCCGATATAAATTGGTCATGATCCTGAGAAGATATGGGACCTGAGAAAAATAAAGCTATGATTACCTTACGCCACATTATGATTATGATCTCAAATTGTCTTTTCCACTTATACATGTGACCAATGCTTGGTAACCGTATACAACAAAGGCAAACAATATAAATGAGCATGGCGATGTGTATGTACCTAAACAAACTAGGCATAAACTCCGCCTTATTTTTTATTCTTCATTTCCCTAGATGTGTTAAGTGTACAACATATGGCCTATACAGAACCTAAGGTTTAGATCACAACGTTAGACAGCATTTTAACACTGGTGTGCTAGAATGAACGAGTAGCACTTTTGCCGTGGAGCAATTTGTGTTGCATTATACTGGGCCTCTAAACATGGTCTTCTGAAAATTGTATACCTGTAGTGGTAAATAACATCTGTTAGTAGCTCTTGGTGAGATTTTTGAATTGATTTATTAAACGTTTCAGATTTGTTTGCAAAGATTATCCTACCTTTCTGTATCAATAACCTTTTTTTTTTATTATTATAGGGAGAAATATTCAAATGAGCAGTTTAAAAATAGCATATCTAGTGGTAAATTGGGTATTTATATAGTTTTCTTCCATTAATTAATACTGGTCAGAACAAGAAAGTGCAAAAACACTCAATTGTCTGATTGGTTTATAAATGTTCAGGAGAGTGAGGTTACTTTCCGGGATTGGTTAATTTTTTTTCGGTGGTTAATTCTTACAAAAAGGCAGAAAGAAAATTACCTTAATTTCAGAGGGGAGTTGAACCATTTTCCGTCCCAAACTCACTTGTATAATAGTGCAGCATATAGGAAATTACAGTTTAGGATGTACCACAAGAACTTACCATTATTCGGAGATTATTCTTTTTAATATATATCCCTATTCCTACAAAGTTGTATTAAAACAAAATGGAAACAAAAAGACTGGAAATAAGTATATTGATCCAACTTCTAACAAAATTAGCACCAAAGTACTTTTTAATTAAACTCATGCAATCCCAAAAATATTGGTTTCTTAACTACACCCAAGTTATTCTTCATCCCTGCATGTAAGTACATGTATTAATTTAACTCATTCATCCCTGAAATTTCATAATGTACTATTATTCTAACCTTTGAACTGGAAGAGTTCAAATGTGTTTTTTTGGGGTGATGCAATGGGGTGATGTTAATGCAATAATGATAAGAGAGTAAGATGTCCTTAACATTTCATTTTAACCATGAATAAAATTTCCTACTTTTAGGGTCCCTTCAAATTGATACGGAACCGAATCAAAAGTAACAGGTACAAGGAGATTTTGTTATCAGTGAGTAGGACCATACAGCTTTTAACCACAGGAGAAAAATCATTTCAGGGAGAGCCTTGCAGCAATTAACCACAGGGACAGATAACAGCAAACATGTATATTTTTTGTGCATCACAAAGACAAGAAAATGGGTCAATTCCAGAAAAAAATCTGTCGACTGAGGCCAAAAAGAAGCAAAAAAATATGTGTTTCCGCTACCATCCTCAGAAAAAATAGGGTAGGTAGGTAGGCAGGCATTTTTGTTTTATTTTGCAAAATCCTTTTACTATGCTTATATAGATTATAGAGTAAGAGTTCTGACTTTCACAGTGCACATCACTAAACGCCAATACAAACTTAAGGGTAGACACAAAACTCTAGGGTAGGTAGGGTTAGCGGAAACACAAGATTTGTTTTATTTGGCCCGATACACTTCCATACAGTATTCACATAGTTAACATTGCTTTTCGTTTTTAACACAGTATTTACATGTAACAGGTATCACATTGTAACAACTTAACAGAGAGGAGGGGACAAACATAACTGCATCAATAATTAAGTATTCTGGCCTATTTCATAGGCACTCTCTTAAATCTGTCGACTGTACACTAACAAACGGTTCTACGATGTACGTGTAACGTACTATAAGACCATGGTCAAATATCTAATATTTACTTCAAATATACATGAGTGTGTATTTCAGAAGTTGTCTTGTTGGTGAGAATTTCAGTTGACATAAACAAATATTATATTATTAACTCATGATCATTCACCCCTGAATTTTCATAATAAACTATTCCAACCTTTGAATTGGAAGAGTTCAAATGTGTCTTCAGGGGTGGATCATGAGTTAACCTTAGACATGCCAATGTATTGACCACACTGGTTGGTCTACTGTTAATAATTACCGGTATGTAACATAAAACTATAAGAAATAATATTTTAATTTCCACTCAAATTGTTTAACCACCCTTCAATTTATAATGACTGAAATGGAGGGTGCACTAGACAATCAAGGTAAACAACAGGTACATCATTTTTGTTTAACGCTCAATATTGTTTAAACCTCAGTTTTAATTTATAATTTGTTTTGAAAACTCAACTTTAGAATTCACAATATTTTTTAGACTTCAAAAGTAATAAATAATCTATCATTACATATACTGAACAAATACTTAACATATAATGAAATACATTTGAAGTACTTTCAACAAAAACATAACAAACAGTAACATGTTGATACATAATTTGAATAAAAATTGGTAAGATCCATTCATTCAATTTTGCATTTTGTCTATAAATCCTCTCAAATTGTTTCCATTTAAATCCTAATTTATTTTTAATCATCATCATTTGCAATGCTTTTGTACAAAAATACATATTATTTACTCCGATATTAGAAAAAAAACCTCTCAGCATGAATTGCCATGACAAAACTGAAAGTAGACATTCTGTTTTATTTTGTTAATGAATGGATTGAATTTTAGCAGTTTGAAAAACTAAACCGATACATGGATGGTTATTTGAATTATATAGACATAAATCAAATGCCAAATTGTGCATGTACTTACACATGTAAGCTACAAGGAATTCCAGATTAAGTGGAAAATAAAGAATAACAAAACTGAAACTATATAACATTGAACAATTTAACAGATTTTTGTAAAAAAGGATGCTCTGTAATGGGTAAAGTAGAACCATGTTTTTTTTCTAATTTCAGTCTTCTATATTTAGTCTGGTTTTTATTGTTTAACACCAGACTCTATAACTGAGAGGAATATTGCTACCAGTACGTATCTTCTGTTCAATCTGTAGATAACTACTGGGTACCGAGCTGCCACGAGATTACTAAAACTGGAAAATACAGAAATATCAAAAGGGATAAAAGTGTATTTTAAACTACAAAATAGTAATATAGTACCTTTTAGGTTTGATGAAATTCTGAAACAATCCTAAAACTAAAATTTTGAACTACATCTGAATATTATCAGCAACACAAGGGGGAGAAACACTAATAAAATTTACTGTAGTAGACAAAATTTAACTATTCCTGTGACATAGCCCCGATCAGGTAGCTGTATATTTATAAATATCACATGTACAGCGCATATCACGTTTACTGTATAGTGCCACTTAATTACTTATTCAACATGGTCTGGATAATACTTGCAAAAATCATTGGTTTTTATACAGATGAATTTAATAAAAAAAAATACTGAAATGAAATTAGGAAGTTAGAAACAGCAACAATATGTTGATAAATAACTTCTACTATACCGGGTAAATGTTGTCTGCATCATGCATTCAAAAAATGTAACATGCAAAAATGAAGTACATGCATACGGAAGGAAAAACCCTGCATTGACCTTAACATAATTACTTGTGGCCTGCATGTATCGATACCTACATGTAGTATACAAAATTATTTCACAAATCATTGACAAGACTATTGCAAATAAACGTCCAGTCAGACTGGATCCGTGACAACGTAACATTTATGATCACATGCATCAAACAAAAAATTTCTCTCGCAACCTTAACTCATTTACCCCTGAAGTTTCATATTGAACTATTCCAACCTTTGAACAGGGAGAGTTCAAATGTGACTTCAGGGGTGAATGATGTTTAGTTGTGAGAAAAAATGGTTACTTTACAATATATCTTTAACATGAGAATCTGTGTCATCTGTCACAGTGTTCGAATAGATTAGAACGTCTAGCAAATATTCAAGATTGTCAAAACTCTTGAAATACACACCGCCTAAATTTGCATTAGGCAACATCCATGTTAGCAGTGCATTGAGTCTATGTTTGAGGGCTTTTAAACAAATTTTTGGTTTCCTACAGGTTTCAACATATGATTCATATATCTTAATTGTTTTTGTCTGTCCCTTAGCTGTTTCTGACTGAACACACGGCAAAGACAAGTCCTGCTGACAGTCTGTCCCTGATAAAGTTGCGGCTCCGCTGGCTGCCCCATCAGCATCACCTAAAGGTAGATCATTGTCACAGGGTTTGCTGTCTGGCTGGGAGGCCTGAGATTCTGCTTTGTGAAGGAAACTGTACTTGGACTCCGGTTTACCAAATAGAGGCGAGTCTGCACCCCCTGTCCAATCAAAGGGCGAGCTGCTGGACAATCTGCTTGCTTCTGAAATGTCTGAATAGGCAGGTAGATGTATAGGCTGATGAGAATTGATGCTGGTAAACGAGGTCAGTTTGTTTTCATTTTCCTCCAATTCCTCACAACTAAAATCATGTATATCATGGTCACTCTCATTACTATCATCCGAGTCTTCATTCCTGTTAGAATTTAGAAACTCTTGAAAAGATCCCTGAAATTTATCTTTAACATTTGATAATTCTGGGGTCTTTCTTTCACTAGTTTGCCTCAAAAGCACACTTGGCCCAGTTTTATGATTAGTATTGCACTTTGAATTACATATGTCCCCTAAATCAGTATTTGGCCCCTGTTGATTTAAAAGTTCGGGACAACAATATCCCCCATCCCTGACATCATGATCCTTGATCATGAGAATACCTGAATCTCCTTCTGAAAAAGCACTACTGCAATTTTTCAAACCATAATCACTGCTGTCTGATTTTTCTAAAGACTTTGGTGGATCTGACTCCAAAAGAATTGAATTAGCCCCTAGATCTAATGTACATTTTTGTTGCTGATTATTTCTGGTCTTTCCCAAAAACGCTAAAAAGTCTTCAGAATAACTAGGGCCCTTTGAGACAGATTCACCTTCGTCTTGTGTCTTGTCATCGGCACTGTAATCATCAAGTACCGGCATGTCATCAGAATCTTTGTCTGCAAAGAAAAACTCATCAGGTTTTTCCAGACTAGGATATTCCGACAGGTCCACAGGGTCGGTGCCACTATCAGAGTATGTCGCAACTGACTTGACGTCATCTTTCTCATCCTCCAGATGGGCAATGTCAAAAGGTTCTGGCGTCTGTAGGATGTCCACCACTTGATCTATGAGCAAATCAACTTTCTCACTGTCTGGATTCATCGCACGAATGAAATCCTGGCATTGAGGAAATATGCTGCAGAATAATGTCACAACTTTGTTTCTTAGAGACACAAGTTGAACCATGTCCCGAATGAAATGTTTGTGTTCTTTTGACAGACTGTGTTTACGTGAATGTCCACTGTGATGTTTTTGCCTCTTTCCATGAATGGAATGAGGTGATGTCCCTACACAGCACGGACACATGCTAATTCGAACTTTCCGTGATCGTTTCTTTCGCGAGGAATGTGATGGGCTCTTGTGTGAGGACAGATGCATGGGTGCATCCTGTACCGAGGTGGGTTCTGGAGTGGTGGACAGGAAGGACATAAATTGCTGCTGCCAGTTGATGGGGGAGACGGATGACCTGGACGATGATCGTTGATTAACTTTACATGGTGATGGCACACTAGAGAGCTGCTCAGCCATGGTAACGTCCACAGAAAGAGGTTTTCTCTTGTCTAGGCACTCTTCCGGATCAAAGGCATTGGAGACATGATTTATATTATCTTGACTGACCGAGTCTTCCTCATCTACAACACTCTCCTCCTCATCCAGAGACACCACATCAATGATGCTTTCTTCTATATCCCTGACAGGTGTACCATCATTCCTGGTGGGACATCCACATCCACTCGCTAAACCAAGGTTGTTGTTCTGTTCTGGATGCAAGATACACTTGTCACAGTCATTCATGTTGTTAAATTTGGGCCCTTCGGTACCCGACCCTTGACCTTGCTTTGGACATCTTTGGAGATAGCTATTCTGTATCACAGCACTTTCTGGTGAACCACAACTATTACTACTGTTAAATGGAGAATTTCCGTTGCCTCTGTTTCCTGATAACTCACTCCCAATCTCTGAAATAGGAAATTCTGAACACACATTGGTGTGTGATAGACTAGAAGTGACCAACTGAGATAAAGTGAAAGTTTCGTCTTCCATTCGGGTTGAGCTACTAAAAGTCTCATGTGATTGCATTCTGCTGACTTGCTGCCTTTGAAGTTTGAACTTTGTGTTAACAGTTTCGGGGTCGAGAACATGTTGTAATGATGGTAGGCATTTCTTTCTTACGCCAAATCTTTGTTTTCTGTATTTTTTCAGCACCATTTTCTTAGCACAAAGATACTGATGACCTGTCTTCGCCATTTTCTTTTGGTTCATGACTAGATTTATTGGTAGCTTATGTTTTTCTGTAAAATCTCACTAAATCCCATGCTCAGCTAAAGCCAGGTACATTCATTACGTGAGCAGATTATTATCTAGGTCAACATAACAATGGTCTGGTGTCATCTGCCAACTGACGATATATATCTGAAAGAAAAAAGATGAAAAATCTTTGTAAAATTTACTTCCATTATTTGTATACAAATATACAAATCATAGTTTAGTATTAAATACCAGTAAAAAAGTAATATTGGTCTGGTCTTTATGAGACCGCCGGCTCAGGTGTCTCTCTCAAGTCTAGTGATAAGGAAACATATAAAAAGTATGTTGCTAGATTGTGCATACATAGACGGGCATACAGTAATGGAGTTAATTTGTGGAGAGATTTTTCGACAGTCTATCACAGGGGCATGCACCTTTTGTATTGGGAAAAGTTTGCTGTGTTTTCACAGAAATGGGAAAATATGTATATTTCATAACATAATACATGAAAATCAGAACATTTGTACATACAATATTTATAAAACTCAAATTGTTTTGTTCTTGTTCAAATAAATTATATTGATGATCATAACACTGATTTTTTTTTAATTTGGGAAAAAAATACAGTTTAAATTCTCTAGAGGAAGGGCCTTTGAGTCCAAAAGCTGTACATGTGACCCCTAAAATCACTGTTGTGTGATGCCTGTGTGTAAAAGTGGGGCAATTCAATAGACAAAAAATGTGTTTTAATCTTAAGGTAATAATTCAGTTTCAATTAAAAGTTAAAATACTACTGCAGACTAGTACTACTCTAGTTCTGTGATGGTACAGATAAAATTACCCTACATACAAATTATGACTGCTCCATCATTTTTCACCAGACTATTACATTTGTGTTTGTGTATATGGAAGCTATATAATTTGTCCAAAGCAAGAGCCTCCTCGGACTCACCCGGGTATTTAATAGATTCCATGCTTGTAGACATTGCTACCTACTAGGAGATTATATAACCTGTTGGTTCCTTATATATGTGAAAGAAGAAGAAATGAAGCAAGCCTGGTATGAATCACACCAGAATTATTTTCGCATTTCTTGTGTGCACATAGTTCACATCTACACACAGGTTTGTAATAAAACCTATCTTTGTTCATAAACTGTTTGCCTAAGATGTGTTAAAATTATCAAGTTTATGTAGCGAAGGCAATTGATATATGAATTGACTGCAATGATGGAAACTTCATCTCTCTTTCGATTAGGTCAAATGTTTAAGTATGGATGTCAGGACCCAATATGGAATTACTTGATTTGGTCGTGAAGGCCATATTTAGAACCGGATAGTTGAAATAACATCAAGCGTGACTTTGTCATGTCATGGGGCATTGGGGGTTGTTTCTTATTTTTTCAAGACAGACATGGCTAATTTCGTGAATGATTTATTTTAATACAGTAAGGACCTGACATTTGTTATTTCAACAATCATGCACTATTTTGATAACATTATGCTATATATGAGGTGCTAATTATATGTAAACTTACAGATGGAACACTTTTGAATTAGCTCCATTAACTGGAATAGGACCAATTTGTAGCTCTGCCGATGCAATACCTATAAAAATTGTCTCATCATCAGGAGCTTCGTTATATTGCAGCTAATGTAGAATCCACTCCTTTTACACATCTAATTATTGAGTATTGTAAGTGAACTTGACCAGAATTGAACTATTATACAATATATAGACTAGTACTTATGCATTGTATATATGACGTTTTAGACTGGTTAACAGGGTTATCTAATAACGCATTAAGGTGCTGGCTATAAACTGAACTGTACTAAATAGGCCTTGTATGATCTTGAACTGATCGTCTGACATGACACTTTCGTATGCTGCTCGCTTACTATGGTTACACGTAACTGCAGAAAATGAAGCAGAAATGCCTACGTTCACATATATTCCTCAGAAAACATCATAAAAACGACTGGCTATAGGGTTGTTAACGGGATTGGTATGCTGTTACACACCGCCTTGAAATCATTCCGACGAAACCATAACGAAATTGAAAACATGGCGGCCATAGATGTAAACATGCCAACTGTCAAACTTGTATACGCATTTGAATGTCATAATAATACTTGATTCTAGTCGACAGTAGATTACATGCGATAATGACGTAATAAAATAATCGTATACCTTAAAGATAAGATGTAGTTTTCTGTTTAATCCTGTTTCCGTGATGGTTTTCAACTGGAAACTCTTGCTACTTGATTATTCTGGCGCGAAACGCCCTCTGCTGGGAATATTAGAAATTATTTCCGCTACGCATGCGGAATCTCACTTCCGACATGAATTGGTCATCATGGCGGCCTCTAGCAATCCGGGAATTCCTGTTGATGAAATGAAAATGACTAACCGTATCATGTGTTTCCAAAGGAAACAAGCAGATGGTAAATTATGTGAATGTTATTAGTATCTTGAAGTCGGGATTCCATTAAACATGACATAAAGTACTAAGAGTCGGTTATGTAAACAGGAGCCTGAGGCTGAAGTTCTGTCAATAATGAATAATAACAGTATCGATATACACAAAAATGCCTAAGTTATAATATGCTTTTTTTTAGCCAACCATCATCTGATGGTGGGCTATTGAAATCATCCTACGTCCGTGGTCCGTCGTTCGTCCTTAAAAAAATTCGTGTTATCAGTATTTCTCACGAAGTACCAGACGGATCTTTCTCAAATTTTATATGTAGGTTCCCCTTGGCCCTTAGCTGTGCAGGGCGATTTTTGAGACTGATCGGATAACAACATGGCCGACAGGCAGCCATCTTGGATTTTGATAGTGAAAGTTTGTTATCGCTATTTCCCAAGAAGTACGAGAGGGATCTTTCTCAAATTTTATATGTAGGTTCCCCTTGGACCTTAGCTGTGCAGGGCAATTTTTGAGACTGATCGGATAAACAACATGGCCGACAGGCAACCATCTTGGATTTTGATAGTGAAAATTTGTTATCGCTATTTCTCAAGAAGTACCAGAAGGATCTTTCTCAAATTTTATTTGTAGGTTCCTCTTGGTCCCTAGCTGTGCAGGGCAACTTTTGAGACTGATCGGATAACAACATGGCTGACAGGCAGCCATCTTGGATTTTGATAGTGAAAGTTTCTTATCGCTATTTCTCAGGAAAGTCCCAAAGGGATCTTTCTCAAATTTTATATGTAGGTTTCCCTTGGTCCTTAGCTGTGCAGGGCAACTTTTGAGACTGATCGGATAAACAATATGGCCGACAGGAAGCCATCTTGGATTTTAATAGTGAAGGTTTGTTACCGCTATTTCTCAGGAAAGTCCCAAAGGGACATTCTTTCTTAAATTTTATATGTAGGTTCCCTGTGGTCCTTAGCTGCGCTGGGCAACTTTTGAGACTGATCGGATAAACAACATGTCCGACAGGCAGCCATCTTGGATTTTGATAGTGAAAGTTTGTTATCGCTATTTCTCGGGAAGTAAGGGAGGGATCTTTTTCAAATTTTATATGTAGGTTCCCCTTGTCTCTTGTTGTGCAGCAGTGCCTGAAATGGACAGTCTCTGGCTTGCCAATGGCAATTAAAGTCTTGCTCGGGCGACCAAAAGTGAAGTAGTCACGGGCCCAACAATAATAGTTTAGGCTGTTGAAAAATTTATGAATAAAAGAAATGATAGTCCATTCCACATTAAATAGAGGGCAGTACATTTTTCAGTTGTCATTACTTCGATTTGAATCGAACTGTCTGTGATTTAGAAAATGTGATGATTTTTTTTCAGACTTTCTATATAAATACTGCCAGGGTGTCTTCTTTGAGGTGCAAGTTTTGTGTATTTCTTTTTGGGAAGACCTGAATGGAGTGGATCCTATCAGGTTTTAACTAGGGTTGAAGAATTAAATATATGATGTTGTATTCTGTTTTACATATATATCAAACATTGTCATGTTAAATGCTGTGGAAATATTTCTTGCCAAAATTATTTGGGCCACCAATATGGGCCGCACCAATATGTCATTTGGGCCAGTGCTTCAAATTCTATTCTCGCCCCAAAATTTGTTTTTGGGCCAACCAATGCAGGTTCCCCACTATCCTTTATTATTCATGTTTACTTTTGAAACTGATCAGTTAAACAAAATGGCCTACCGACAGCAATCTTCGATTTTTGACATTGAAGGTTTGTTAGTATTATTTCTTGGAATAACTTCAGGGATCTTTCTCAAATCTAATATGTAGGTTGCCTTTGATCAATTGTTTTCCATGTTATATTTTGAGACTGATCATAAACACAAAATGGCTAAAGGAAGAACTAAACAGATCTTTCTCATATTGCAATGATCAATTCTATTTCTTTCACATTAAGTACTGTACTAGTAAATATGTGAAATGACAAACTCACTTTGAAGGTTGGCTTTCATACACATCAGTATTAACTTTAGATCAAAAGTTACCTGAATATGCATTTACTCTTAACATGACTCGATCAAACAGATTAGAGGGAAGAAGAGAAAAGATCGAACTGACAAAGAACTAATGAAGATGGTACAATGGTGGGTGCCAAGATCCCTCTGGGATCTCTTGTTTTTTTTGTAGTAAGGAGGCAGTACCCAAATCAGATCACTTTTTGCAAAAATACTTATAAATAAATGTGTCAACAGATCAGTTATAACAATGATGTAGTCTTAGAATAGATAGCCATGCACCATTTTTTATATATGAACATATATTATATACTTCTTCTTCTTCTTCACAATCATGTGCATCATTCATAAGAATATTGTCGCACAGTTTGCGCTTAGCTTGATGTAAAAACTATCCACGATAGCCAATGTACAATTAAAACGAGTTAAAAACAGATCTATCATCTTCTGTCTTGTTGAGAGTGGATGTCAGCGGGATCTTGCTGATGGTGCTGTCACAACTGACGATGGTAGTTGATTCATTGTCCTCACTGCAGTTGGAAAAAATGAATGTTGGTACGTCTGTGTTCTTGATGTAGGTTGGACGTAACGGTTGTCGTGTCCTCTGGTCCTTGCTGTTGCCTGTTGATGCAGGCAGAAGGTATGGTTCTGGGGGGATGTCGATAGGGCTGTGGACGATTTTAAACAGCATCACCTGCTAAGCCTGAATTCTCCGCTCCTGCAGGGTGTGCCAGCTGAGTGTCTGCAGCATGGTTGTAACACGGCTGTATTTGCTGAAATCGCCCTGCATAGCATACCTGGCTGCCTTTCGCTGGACCTGTTCTAGCTTGCTGATGTTGGAATGAGTATGTGGACTCCAGATGACAGATCCATACTCGATGATAGGGCGTTCCAAGTTGGTGTAGCAGGCCGCCTTCCCATCAGCTGGGCATTTTTTCAGTGTCCTCTGCACGAAAGCGTTGGTGGAAGTGGCTTTCTTGCTGGCAGATGCGATGTGTTTGTTCCAAGAGAGGTTATTTTGGAGGTGGATTCCTTAATACTTGGCCGACGGGACTGTCTCTAAATCTTGACCGTGGATGGAATAGGTCGTGACCAAGGGATTCCTCTTTCTGGTTATCCGGATGGCTTCACATTTCTCTGGGTTGAAGCTCATCTGCCATCTATCCTCCCATTCCTGTAGTCTGTCCACATCTTGTTGTAGTTGTGCAGAGTCGTCATGAGTGGAAATAACTCTGTACAACAAGCAGTCATCAGCAAACAAGTGAGGAGTGGATGTTACACATAAGGGTAGATCATTGATGAAGACCAGGAATAATAGAGGTCCGAGGACAGTTCCTTAAGGGACTCCTGATGTTACTGAATATGCTGATGACTGTTGGCCCTCAAGGATAACCTTCTGAGTACAGTTGGATAGGAAGCTTTCAGTCCACTTGAGCGTGTTCCCTCGAATACCATAGTAGTGGAGCTTGCGCAGAAGTCTTTGGTGCGGGACCTTGTAGAAAGCCTTCGAGAAGTCGAGGAGGACTGCATCGACTTGATCACCTTTGTCGAGGCTCCTGGCAATGCCGTCTATGGTCAGGATCAGCTGGCTCTCGCAGGATCTCTTCTTCCTGAATCCATGTTGGTAGTCAGATAGGATGCCGTGTTGTTCTAGGTGGTCCATTAGACTGCTGTGGATGATGTGCTCCATCAGCTTACTGCATATTGAAGTCAGTGACACCGGTCGATAGTTGCCTGCCTTTGCCTTGTCTCCTTTCTTGAAGATGGGGGTGATATGAGCTTTCTTCCAGTCGTCAGGGACAGTTCCAGCATCTATGGAAGACTGAAACACTCTGGTGAGCATGGGAGAGATGGAATTGGCACACATCTTGAGTAGCCTTGGTGGGACTTCATCTGGACATGTTGCTTTGCTCCCTATGACATTAAGAAGAAGCTTTGTCACTCGTGTCTGACTGATGGTGATAGTTGGGGCATCCCTGACAGTTGATAGTTCTTCCCTGGTGTATGCAGAACAAAACTGCTGGTTGAGTATCTCAGCTTTCGCTCTGGGCTCACTCACAAGAAGTCCGTCCTTCCTCAGTGGGTATACTCCAGAGGAGTCTGTTCGCTGACTCTTCATGTACGTCCACAGCTTTTTGTATGTACCTGTATCAATGTCTAGGAGCTTGTTGACATAGCTGCTGTGAGCTACTCGGCACTCCTTTTGGGCTGCAGACTTCAGTCTCTTGTAGCGGTGCCAGTCCCTAGTTCTTGCTGAAGTCCTTTCTTTTTTGAATGCGCAATGTTTGCGACGTGATAATTTCTTAACACTGCGCAAAATCCATGGTTGATTAAATCTCCCTGAAGTCATCTTAGATGGTACAAGCTCCATGAGTTGGTTGCAGCACAGTTTAAAAGCGGTCCAGGTCTTGTTGACGCTATTGTTTGGAGAATAATCCTCAATGAAATCCATGGCAAGTCAATCGGCTGTTTCCTGGATGAGTGTTTCGTTAACTTTGGACCATAGGTAGAACTTATGCTTGATGGGACGACGATACGGTGCTCGAATGTTGGATTTGGTCATCACAATGTGGTGGTCCCCTAAGCCTGGTATAGGCCTACATAGGTTTATCTGTGATGGACAGTTCGTGAGGAAGATGTCGAGGATGTTAGCAACCCGAGTTGGAAAATCAACAATCTGTTCTAAGCCACAGTCATTTATGGTCGAGATGAAGAGTTAAATCCAACTGTTTTGAGTAGGTGTGGGTACAAGTGGACATAGATTCCCAGTTCACGTCAGGTAGGTTGGTGTCCCCTGTGATCCAGATTGTCAAATTGGGGTTGGAACAGACAAATTCCTCTATGGTCTTAAACATGTTGGTTGCATAATCAATGTTGTTGTCGGTAGGTCTGTACAATGCCAAGATCGCCAGTTTGTTTACTTTGTTGTAGGTTATACTTATCGCCACGGATTCTGTCCCATGGTCATCTATAGTAATGTTACTACAAGGTATGGTCATCCTAGCAGC